TATTGCTTTTATTTCTACTAGATATTGAAAATAATTTGTATTTCAGCTCACGTTTTTCGGAGGTCCGATTTCAATAATTATGTGGACATAAATTATTCTATTTACGAAATATTCAAAGTATTAGAGGAGGTTCTAACATTGAAATATCCGGATTCACGCACCGACGTCCAAACCTAGCTCTCAATGTACCATTGCCTCCACTTAGGCGCACCTAACCCTAGATGTAGCTTGGGGTGACGTGTTGGGGTTGAGTTTGGGCACAAGCTAAGAAGGCAGGCCGGGTGCCAACTATGTTGTATTGGGGTAGGGTCGAGTGGGACTTTCTACTCTTTTTATTTTGACATGTTTTTTTTAACTTTTTGTTATATTTTTATTTTATTAAAAATATTAAATATAACAGTCTTTTGAACAAAAGTTAACTTTGTCATAGTGGGATATGCTTAAAAGAAATGCTAAATGTACAGTTATTGTACACAGCAATTTACACAGCCCTCTCACATGGTGTGGGGCCCCACACCATGTGATAGGACTGTATAAGTGGCTGTGTAAAAAGACTGTAACTCAAGCATTTCTCTATGCTTAAATACCAATTGGGGAATCAACCACTATAAAATTGACCCAATTGCTAGAAATTGGAGATTATTGGCCTATTTGTTTTATTTTCCATAGATTAAGAACTCTTAACTGTAATCTCCCTTCATAATACTAAAAAAGATGTAATTTTAGGTACTATAGTGAGTTTTCGCGTGTTGCATTCAACTGTAATCACTAAGGCATACTTTCTTTTATAAAGTATCATTTATTCACTCCGTCCCTACTATATAGACTTATTTCCTTTTTTCACACGGATTAAGAAAACTTCTTTAATATCATTGAAAAATTAATTTTTATCAAGATCTTTTCTAGTTTACTCCTATTTAATTTTCAGTATGTCAAACTAAATTATTGTTGGAACTAATAAATAATTTGAAGAAGAAAAAGAAATGTGAGTTATTCCATGTTTCCAAGAAGTGGGAAATGTGTATATTTGGATGATTTCAAGTTGGCATATTTAGTGAGGAAAATTTAATAAGGGTATATTGGTAAAGGAACACAACAAAGACTATGTTTGAGCCACATTCTCTCTCTTTTTTTCTAATTATTTTTTCTATAGTACTCATTTTAAACCACACATTTTTCATTAAAATAATTTTACACGTAAATCAAAAAATTTTCCTTCTTTTTTAACCACACATTCTTCCATCAATCACCCAAAAATTAAAATTTCTCCATTGGGCCAAACACACTCAAAATATTCTCCATTCTAAAACATGCCTATATATTTGGGACAAGAGAAAAATGAAATTCAGCTTATATAATCAGGATGGATGGAGTAATGTTTATTACAACAAATTTTGTTTGAAGTTCGAAAGTATATCGTTTACAAGGTTTTGCTACGTGTACCATGATGTACATAATGTGCAAGTGACATTTTATCATCGACTGGTGGAAAAAACTGAACAATTCTTGTGCACGTACCATTGCAATTTAGAACAAACAAGCACTGTTATATTTGTTATTAAAAAAATGGAATCCATGAGCACAGGTGGGTTCTATGGTGTAGTGGTTAGCACTCTGGACTTTGAATCCAGCGACCTGGGTTCGACTCCCGGTAGGACCTGTCTTCTATATTAATATACTTTTGGGCCGGCCCATGATGGAAAAGTTCAATTATTTCTACTCGAAAATGTCATGGAGATTTTATTTAACATTTTGCATAGATGGATCGATCGAATTGACTTTTAAGTTTTCCATTATTTGAAATTTGGTTCCTGTTTCTATATGGTTTTTGCGTTGAAAAATTTGCCTAAAAATCAAGTTTTTAATTGATTTTAATCAAAATTAATGAAATATGTGGTTATAAAATAAATAAAAGTTGTGGGTCCCATTACCATATAATGTTTGGTTGAAATTGAATTTGTGAATAAATGACTTTTGAAACCCTTTTTCAATTTTTTTTTTTTTTTTAGTTTGTTATCTTTCTTTGTTATTTGTTTTTCTCACATCATTTCCTTTTAATTGTGTTTTATGAGTAGATATCGAGACGAGCGAGAAAGATTTGTGGAAACACCTCTCAGTGTTTGAACATCTTTTTAACCCTATTTTTTGTTCTGCATCTGTTAACACAAACACCACATCACATAACACAATGTCTGATAGTGAGCATGATGCACCGTATAGAACTTTACATGATTAAACTAGCTGTGCATGTCGTTCGGGACATGAAGTATGGCAAAGTATTATCTGCAATGTGACTTTGCATATACTTACCGTTAAAACAAATGTGATACGATGAAAGTTATATTGGCGTACGAACTTTGGTCGAATAATTAATATTATTAAAGTCTTTATAATTATTCGTAGAATTCAAGAATGCAATATTTATTCAGTGTTTAGTGGATTGACTAATCATTATTACTTGATCTGAGCTCCAGCTTGTAACCACTATATGAATATGAATCAACTCTATCAGGATTTGGAAATGTAGAATTATCATATCTCCAATTAACAAGGATAATATGGTATTTTACCAAATTATGATATACATGAGACTCAACTTGATAAAGATTAAAAGGTCACCCCAAATGGAGTAGATCGATCACTCCCACTTCTCTCTTACACAAATTTGCAACTCTTGGTATGTTCAAAAAATCAACTCTATTAATTGTTCATCTAAACTTTTAGTTGCATCTCTTGGTATGGTATTTTAAGCTATTTTCAGTCTTTAACAATACTGAAAACGTATTTGATCTGATATTTTCGAAAATGCATGTTTTGAAAATAATGATAAACTTAAAACATAAAACTCAAAATATATTTTTGATATTTGGAGCGTTTTGAGCGAAAATTTTGAAAACATTAAAAAATATGAAAACAAACATTTAAATATAATTTAAAAATATAAAAGTTTAAAAGAATAAAATAAAATTTAAAAATAAAATTGATAAATTAAAAACAAATTCTAAAAACTAGAAAAAAAATTTTAAAAATTAAAAAAAATCCTAGAAAATTAAAATTTTAAAAATAAAAATATTTCCAACTCTTAATGATTATTTACATAAAAAATCTAAAAAATATATATTTAAATAAAAGCATAAAAGAAATTCTCAGTCCACGTCATTAATTTTTATTCTTATTTCCTATATTTTGAACTTAATTTATTATTTATTTATTTTACTCTTGTAGTGAAAAAAAAATGTTGTGAGGTTCACCAACTTTAAATGTATATACTATTTGATAATATATTAACGTAAAATTGTTATATTTTTATTGAATAATCAAATTTCATAAAATAAAATGTCGTAAAATAATTTTTCAAAATTCAAACTAGACGTATTTTCTAATTTTCTATTTTTAGAAGCAATTTTTCAAAATGACAAGTTAAACGAATTTTTATCAATTTTAGAATACATTCCCCAAAATAGACAATTGAAAATAAACTCAAAACTAAAACACAAATCAAACGGACCTTGTTCGGTGCAAATTAATATTAAATTTTTAGCGGAATTTGAATTTAAAGGTTGGAAATTGGAGAATTGTATTAAAATATTTCTTCATTTCCCTTGACTTAAAAGAGTGAATCACCATTTTAGATGAAAACGTTGATATGTTAGGATAATTTTGTCGTAAAGATGAAAATTACTTGATGGGATGGAAGCCAAAAGGTCAAAAGTCTCATTATTTCTGTCAATTAACTTCAAATTATGCTTTATGGGACCGACAAAGTTGCACCAAAGAATCGATTTTTCTGATAATTTGTTTCAAACATGGGCTTAATCTTATCTCGAATAGATTGTATCTGTCCCTATTTAGGATGAAAAATTAACCTAATTAGCAATTGAGCTCATCTTGAAATAATGATTGGTTTTTTTTTTTTTTCCATTAGTGCAACCTAGGATAATTATATTAGATCCTTGACTTACTATGGCCACAGGTGCACCAAAAATGTGCAAATATCCTCCATGGGAAAAGAAGAAAAAAGGATGCAAAGCAAAGTAAAATTAGATAAAAATGTACACTCGCACACATGCATGATAGTGCCATCCGTGAGCTAGCTTGCTGACTTCGTTGCATTGAAAAAACAAAAGCAATATCTTCAAGATGAAGCAAAGCACCTATAACAAGTCAACAGCCTGATTCCTCAACTCTTTATCTTTGCACAGATCACAGATATGCTTTTATTTACTCAAAAGTCTCAAAGCACGAAACTTTTCATTCTTTTCTCTTTCAGAAACATGCAACCTAATTAGAGAAGATACCAATTTTCACCTAATTAAAGAGCTGGAGAAATGGACTTTATATGTCAGATTTTCACATTTCAAATGTGAAGAAAATTCACATTGTCCAAAGCTCCAGTTGTTACAAACGATACAAATTTATTTATTTCAACCTTAGTCTTCAATATGTTGTCTCATTTATAGACGGAATTCATTTTTCATTAAAGGTCTGATGCATGTACAATTATTATAAATGAGTGACAATGTGAGTTGCTTCTTGTTGTAATGTGATACCATGTTAAACAATCCATGTTGTCTATATATCACCTGCAGGTTGCAACATGATGGTTTGCTTTTCCTTAATATCTTTGCTACTGATATTTTATGTAAAAGCAAAAGGAAAGGAAGGCCGAATTAATTATATATACACACAAACACATAAGAACTAATTCATGAATCAGTAAAGAATCTAAATATGTGGACTAAGTACATTTACTGTTTTTAAGAAGAACAATATACTATTCTTTTTCGGTTTTTGAACTGACAGATTTATTTTATTAAAAAAAATCCGAAAAAAAGTAAAAGTTGATAGAAAAATAGGAATCAGCCCATCCCACGATCAGTATAAAGATCCCTCAGCAAAACCCTCCATGCACGTTGACTCTCTCTCTCTCTCTCTCTCTAAAACACACACACACACACCAATCTAGAATGGACAAACTGAGTTTGGGCAGAGTTGGAGCAATGAGCAAATTGCCACCAGGATTTCGGTTTCAGCCTACAGATGAAGAGATTGTGTTTCAGTACTTGGCACCTAAAATATTTTCCTGTCCTTTACCTGCTTCAATAATTCCAGAAATCAGCATTTCCAAATATGATCCCTGCAGGGAATTTCCAGGTAAATTAGTTTTAGCTTTTATAAACAATGTAGTTTAACAAATGTGCTTTCATGACTAATATATGTTTCAATTAGTTTTGGGTTGTTTGTTTGACAAAGCTTTTGATAAAACTAAGTTTTAAGTTTAGCAAATTTTAATAAAATTTGATAAAAGTTGTTGATCCATGAAATGTGTGGATCGAATTTTGACTCGTTGAAAAGTCTTTATAATTTTATCAAACAAGCAAATGTAAACTATATATGTGTACTGTACTGTATAGGGGATTCAGACGGCAAGGACAAATACTTCTTCAGCAATAAGGAACCTGGAAACAGAAGTAGTCGAGCAACAGAAGATGGTTACTGGAAGGGCACAGGTTCAGATAAAAGAATTATATATCGGAAATGGAAACCAATAATGGGGACGAAGAAGACATTTGTATTCCACAAGGGGAAGCATCCCCGAGCTTCTAGAACCGATTGGATCATGCATGAATATCGCATTACAATTTATGGAAACATAGCTAGTAATTCCCAGCAGGGAAAAAATTGTCAGGTAATTTTCTATGTAAATATTCAATTTATAGATTAGTTCCTATTTCTGCAAATTAATATAATCTGTTGGTTTGCAGGGTTCTTTAATTCAAATAGGAAATTGGGTTTTGTGTCATGTGTTCAAGAAGAAACCAAGTACAAAAACTGAAGTTTATGTTGATAGGCCTAGGTTTTGTGAGTTCATGAAATCAGAATTAGAAGATACAAGTTCTTCTTCTTGTGCCTCCTCCTCTTCTTCTAATTTATGTTCTGATCATTCTAGTTTTTCCTCTGAGGTCTCTTCCAATGCAGCAAATGAGGAAACCAGCAGAAGAAATGTGTAGTGCAATTTCGTCTCATTATTGAAATGAAAGCTCATATATTTTTGTTTGTTATGTTAAATTACCTCCTCTGTGTGAGTCGAATATCCAAAAACACGATGACATTTACAGATAGTAAAATTGCATTAACATCTGCAACTTTTAAATAAGGCCCTATTTGATATGGTTTATTTTCCATTTTCCAAGTTATTGCATGTTTGATTGGCCAAAAATTCCATGAAATTGGTTTTCCTTCTTAAGCCTCATGCGACCCCATTTTCTTGTTTTTCCTTGAATTGGTTTTCCCACCACTTTGGTGGGAAAATGATTTTCTAGTTTTTTTTTGACAATTGAAACAAATTCTATCCCCAATGGTAACAAATTATATTCTTTTACTGGACAATTTTCATGAAAAGCAAAGTCAAACGAATACCAAAAAATCCAAATTTCAACATTTTTCAGGTAGAAAATTGTATCGATCAAACACAATTAATTGGTAATTCTCAGTAAAACAAGTTTTAAGCAATTCAACTCCCTAAAATTCATTTCCTTTCCACCCAAATCCCATTCTCGCAATCAAATAGATCCTAATATTTTTGAAACCTAACCATCTTTGGAACTTGTATATAAATTTTTCTCAATGACAATTATTGACTTACTCGTCATTTTATGTTTCCCCTAGACCGTCATTAAGTTTTAAAATATACGTCCTACTTTCGATGACTAAACTGTCATTATAGTCCAAGTGAAGTGAATGCTTGTTATTGTAGACACGAGACGTTGAAAAATTCTTTTTTCCCTTTATTCCTCAAGCCATTGGGTGATACTCGTCTCCATTTTTTTTTTTAAAGTTCTAGCAATAGTAATCAGTTTGATGTGATTTAATTTTTAAAATACGTGGTTGCCTTGTAGTCAACTACAAATCGAAAGTCGAAACATTGTTTTTCGTATATGTCTTTTGATCATGTTCATGTAAAAGCTAAAGAGGCAGACTTGAAGGGTCTATGAATCAGTGGCTTTTGCTATTATTAGACAGTATCTTTCAAAGGAAATAGCTAGAAATGGAAGAAGAAGAAGAAGCAAGCAAAGCATATACTCCTAATCAACTTTATATAAAGTGATCTCTTCCAGGAAGAGAACCTCAATATAGGATCAAGAATATTTGCACGTGTTTCTTGAAAAGTGAAGTTCCTTATAAAAAATGTCGACAGCCGTAAAGTTTCAATGCTTATTGTCATCATTATCTTCCTCTATTTTTTTTTTCCATATTTCACCCCTGCTTGGGATTTCTAGTAGATTTTGATAAAAGACGTTGCTCCAACAAAATGTGATTAAAATTAATTATTGACTTTGACTTGACTTTAATTCAAGCGAAACATGGTATTTGCCGAATCAAAATTGTTTCATTTGCAGAGTTGATTGATTGATGCTCGAAAACGTGGTACGTTAGCCAGTAACAAACAATAAGTAAAATATTTGGTAAGGAGATTAGTGCTTGATTTATGCTTAGGCGTGCTTAAATCAAACTTAAGCAGCAGGGCATACAAAATGTAAGTTGTGAGTCCGTAAAATATATGGATTAAAAGTGTATATGACCAGTTCTGGTGAAAATCTATTTCTTATCGAAATTGAGATGCATTATCAGGAACAAGTGAATATGTCTAGGTAGACTATACTTTCAAAGTCTTTCACAAATTAGAGGATTTTTCATGTTAAAAATCAATAGTGCTGATTATGCATCTTGATATTATCTCATAAAATTTATGTGATCGTCACGTATTAAGTTCTTGAAACGCAAGACAAATCTTCGTCTGGCTGACTGGCTTGATATCAAATTGAATGTAGAGAAACTCAAATCGCAACATAATATAGAGAGCAGATTGTCCACGAGCATAGGAATTTGTTGCAAAATACATGTTCTGCAAGCTTCCTAAATTAAGTTGAGATTCTATGGACATGATAGTCTTTAAAATCCTTCTAACACAAAATATAAAAACACCAAAGAAGCCCAACAACATCTGTAGCATGGACACTTCAATTAGAGTAACGTGTCCGTATTCGAGAAAATATAAAACCACCAAAGAAGCCCAACAAGGCAACAGCACATTCTCATTTCGTATTGTCAAATACTACGTGCAAAACAAGTTTTCTATTAATCAAACATACGCGGCACAGCTTTTTTGTAACAATGAAATGAAATAGTTAACGCGTTCTATGAGACAATATATGTTTTTGTTACTAGCAGAATTACTATTCTTAAAATTTGTTGACGAGAAAAACCTCTCTACACCCGTAAAGATCTCATGGTTGAAGATACGATAGTGATACAATAGTACACTTGAGCAATGCACAAAGCTGAGGCTAAAAGCTCATCAGATTCAGGACATTAAAAATCACTAAACTAAGAAGCTTAAAGAGCAGCATGATATAGAGAAAACATATTGTTCAAAGTGCAAATTACATATATTAAACAAGCTTCCTATATAAAGATTCTATAGATATGATAGTTCAGATTCTATTTTCGGATACCAGGAGAACACCATTAAGTACCTCAGCTACAACAAACATCAATGCTATCTGCTGCAGATAGAACCTAGTCTGATATCTGCAAAGATGTAACCAACTTCAACCTGGGAGAAAGGAATAAATTCGGTTGAGTTCAGAAAACAACAGCAGCAACACATTTACGCCTCACTTGCCAGTAAGAAGAAGGCAAAAATAACTTTGAAAACCAAATTTTCAGAGATGTAAAAAGGGAGCCTATATTAACAAATACATGTGCAGGTGTGACAATGTCGTTTCTGCAATGAGCAATGCTGATTAAGCTCCTCAAACCATTGAATGTAAAATGAGAAAATGGAATTGATGATGGTCAAAAGAATCTGGAATAGAGTTATCTCAATTTTGCACTTAGTATACGTAAAATACATTACTAATCAAAAAATCTTAAGCGGATTACTAGTGGCAAAATGTTCCATAAGTTACAAAGTGCACATAAATAATTAGGGCATGTTTGAGCCAGATTAAAATTTGATTTTAATCTAAATTAAAGTCAAACAATCAATATTAAGCACATCTTTCATGAGTTCCACATCATTAATCACATCTTTCATGCGGTCCACATCTTTTTAACCACACATTTCAAAAACTTCTATCATAATCCACTAAAAATCTAATTTTAATCCCCACCAAACACCCCTCTTAATAAAATATCTAGAAAGAATTCTAGGAAAGTAAGCAAACTGAGAGGGGGAAACTATCAGGACATGTTTGGTGCTTTTTTGTTAACAGTCCAGTTATACAGTCCACCTTATGAAATAAGCCATTAGCATTTAAGGTTTAAGCATAAGCTCGTGGCATTCCTAAAACAGCAACTGCTACAATTAAAATACCAACTTATTTTCAAAACATAGAGGGCAGCAGGGATTAATGAGGAAGAGAATTCAACACATACCTAACAAGAAGAGAAGGCAGAAGAGAGAAATTCTTCATCCTCCAAAAATATCTGCAGATTTTTAGTCTTCATCAAGAACCCAATAGCTGCCTCATCAAATTCCAAGATAAAACCTAGTTTGATCAGTTCAGCAAGCTGTTGAATATGATCTTCTTTATCCCACAAAAGTCCCTCAGAAATTACTTCAGCAAAATATGTAGCGCATTCAAGGACATTCTTATGACCACCTGATTTATCCACCTTCTGCATAAAAAACTCAGACCTCTCTCTCTCCCAACGCATCAATCTTCTCGCACTGACATTTATGATTTTCCCCGATTTAAGTGGTAAACTGTATTCCACAGTTATTGGTGTTGGTGTCTCAAGAACAGTAATTTCAAGCAAGCCCTTCAGAGCATCGTGCCTCTTCTGTACTTCAATTTGGAGGTCAGCAAGAAAACCAAGAATTAGTTTAAACAATCCTCTTTCAATGAAAACCTCTCTTGAATTCACCTGTGTGGGAGCAACGCCGTCGAATGCAGATTGCTTACTTTTCTGAACATATTCAGATAAATTTCGCACTCCAATTTTGCTGTAAATATCAAGCAGCTTATTTCTGGGCAAGGATTGCAAACTTGGCTGAGGATACCAGACAAATAGCGGCTGGGAAGCAGACTGTTCAAAAAGATCCTTCAGGCAAAGATCATCTGCAATGAAGACGTCATATTTGTCCATCAACGAAATTCCATCTGAACCAGACAAAACTGGGAGTTTCAGAAAGTTCTCAGAAAGAACTTTCTGTGTCACTAAACTCCAATGCTTGGCAACGAATTCCCAAAAGGCAATGCATTCATCACTAGATAATAAGTGGCCAGAATCCTCCCAATCCATCCAAAGCTTGCAGTAGTCAGCAAGAGAAGGAAATCTTTTAACTTCTAGAGCATTAGAGAAGAAATTCAGCAATTTCATCTCGTAATACTTGTCCAAAACGTTCAACTGCTGACCAAATAGACCATCTTTGTCATGAAGAACACATTCATCAGAACTTACCCATTCACCATCATTAGAACCATTTGGAATCCATATTTTTGCAGCATCTTCACCTGTGGGTTTCCAGTTCAATTCATTTAAGTAAGAATAGATCCGCTTGATAACCATAAAATTTGTATGTGTGTTGAGGTAACTGGCAAGCAACAAGCATCCATTTCTCTTTTCAACCACAACTCCTAACGCATTTAGCTCTTTTGAATAAGAACTTATGCTAGGGCCATAAAATGTTTCATCAATGAAAGGCCCGTCCTCTCGAGATAAGGTAGAACCCCAACCAGAACCAAACAGCAGGCACTTGTCTGGAGACCTATAACCGACATGCGTCTTTATCCATTCCTGGGCAGCGTTTTGCGAAAGAGTAGCAATTAAAGGCTCATTCGACTCTTCTTGCAAATTCCTAATGCATTCCAACAATGAGTATGCAGCTGCAGCCGTGATGCTGCTAGGATCTTGAGGTAAACGAAGACTTGAAGCCACAAACTTAGCACCGCATTTAAAAGAAACAACAACTCCCATGCTCTTAAGCTCCTCTTTATACTTGAGAATACCCTTGCCGTAGTAATTCTCACCATAATCAATAAAAGGCAATAGAGATATCGAAGAGATAGATATCCAATCTGGGCTAACCAGAATGCAGTCTTTTGGTGCTCTGCAATCAGCAAGTCGAGTGCGCAGCCATTTAACCTCTCGAATGCACTTCTTGAGATCCGAATGAAATTTAAAACCAATGTGTTTCAACTTTTTGTAGCATGCGAGAAATGAAAGGACATTATCTTTATTTATGGAAGACGATGATGCTTGCTGCCTAAACACACGAGCAAATGCTTTTGTTGCTTCCTCAAAATCAACGAGCACTCCTATTTTTGCCAATTCATTTCTGAATGACAAAATGCTGTCTCCATAAAATTGGATATCAACAAGAGAAAAACTGTTGAAAACTTGCAGAAGGCAACCCCATTCAGGATCAAACAGATAACATTCAGCTGGAGATTTGTAACCCTTATTTGTCTTCAGGAGCATCGAATCTTTAAGAATTCTAACAAGTTTGTCAGATGAGCTTAAATGATGCATACACTCCAGCATCAAAAGAACAGCTTTAGCTGCCAGATACGTAAAGCAAGATGGAGATTTTAAGTTGTCGACAATAAGTTGGTAATTTCCACGGAAGCCAACTACCACACCAAGAAGCTGAAGTTCCTCACGAAAAGAAATAATTTCTGCTCCATAATAGTCATGATCAATAAATGGAATGTCACTAATTTGAGAGGCAGCCTCCCATTCTTGATCATAAAACACAGAATCCAGAGGGCTCCTATCACCTTGGGAAGTCCGTAGCCATCTTCTATCCTTTATTCTGTTGATGAAGTCATCAGGAGGAAGAAGTCTGTCCCTCAAAAATCTGATGAAATTCAGTATTGAGAAAACATGGGCTCTAGTTAGAGTGGATGAATCTGCCATCGACATAAGATGCTTGCCAATATACTCACATGCTTCATTAAATTCAAACATAACCCCGACTTTTCTCAACTCCTCCTTATAGTTAGATATTTCTTTGCCATAAAAACTTTGATCTACCAATGGTATATCAACAAGCACTGATCCATTTTGAAGAAGGCATCCCCATGAAGAGGTAAGTAGGAACGATTGTGACGGTGGCTTGTAGCTAACACTGCCACTGAGCGAAACCCGAAGCCAGCTTCCATTCTTTATGCAGTTAAAAAAGTTTTTTGGCATGTAACGACCCTTCTCTTTCAGGTTACGAATCCACTCTAAAAGCAAGAATGCATTTTGTTTGGTTAATAAAGAAAAGAAACTTGGTATCTGAGCATCTGGAGGGGGCAAATCAGGTATATCTGAAGCTGCAACATGAGATTTAAGAAATTGAAGTAGTTCTTTCTCCTTGGTAAGAACACCTGCATAATTTCCTGAATACAAATAGTCCTCTCCCAGTTCAACATAACCTTCATTTCTCCATGGATTTGAACCAATAAGTTGCACCCAACGGCTTCCATTAGCAGGGACAAGAACCCCTTGTCTACTTACGATCACCTGCCCATAGTTATTAACAAGTGGCATAGAACCAGCTGCACAATCAACCTCTGTTGTGGACAGGTAGTTCTTTCTAAGTGAGTGATAGAGGAAATGGACATAGGTAACGACACGTTTTCTGTCACTGCCAAGCACCTTGCTCAAATGGAGAGCATAGGTATAGACACTTACACAACTAACCTTCACTTCCTTCATGAGCCAATCCCATATCGTCTGCCTTTTGGAATGTGAACAAATTTCACATTGTGTCGACTCAGGAAGGAAAAACCGATTATTAACACCTAGGAACTCTCCATTCCAATCAATCAGCCAAGAGATTCGATTGGACGTGTTGGATAAAAGAATTTCTCGTTGCTGTGAGACTTCATTTATTCTACACAGAGACACTTGAGATTGTGCACCTACATACTTAAGAAGTGGCATGTCCACAAGGCTAGTATTTGAGAAGGACCTCCAATTTTCAGCAGCGAACAAAAGAAGTTCTAAATAAAGATCTTCGGATCCTCCCAGAACAAGATTGGAACTCCTGACACACTTTGCATACCATTCATCATTAACATACTCTACTTTCAAAAAATTTAGAAGGTGATCGTACTCCTCCTCATCAAATGCAGAGCTTAAAATATACTTCCCGTGGGTTGAGATGTTATCCAAGCACACTCCTTGTTGCCTAGCCATCTTTAACAAATTCCAGAAAGCAGGCCTTAATCTTCCAACTTCGTGAGGTTTATGGAAAAACTTCTGCTGTGTGTATGATTCACAAGGAATAATACTTTCTTCCATCAGTTTTGATTGGATTGATTCTCTCACAGAATTAAACAGAGCATAGGGAGAACTCATGACCGGTAAGAAGCCAAACATCCGTGGCAGAATGGAAACAGGAGCATCTTCCTTCTCTTTCACAAGTGAAGTAAATGCATTAACAAAAGCAGATGGCACACAATTAAGAATACCCTGGTTCCAATTGCAATCCAAAAGGATTGTTTCCCTTGATGATGCCAGAAGAAAATCTGCCTGAATTATGAAAGGAAAGTTTGTAACCATCTCCGTGGGAAGGAATGCATAGATCCCAGGGGAGGTTGATCCTCTGTTGAGACGCTCTCCATTGGGAAAAGCCAATGTGATCACATATTCTTCAACTTCAATTCTTCTTTCTACCTTATTTTCCGGTCTGACAGGAAATCTCTGCCTCCACATATGATAGCTGCATTCTTCACCACCTCTTTCATCAGCAGAGAGATGGAGCAGGTAGGATTCAGCGTCGATGTTCTTCCTTGTAACAAAATTTGTCTCACTTGTAATGGAAATTGCAGTCACTGTATTGCACCTGGGGTCCTCATTATCTTCCCTGACAGAAAGCCTCTTTATCTTTGACAGAAACAACAAAAGTTCTGGATGAATGCTTGAAAGCTGTTGTTTCACAGGCTTCACCTTGTCAGGCTTCAGAGGTAGTAGTATTGTTGTGGTTGGAAGGTTGGAATTTGAGCCATATATATGTCTTATCTCTGAAAGAATTGGGTTCTCCTCAACCCATTCAGGGACAATGTAGCCAACGTTGCACTCTTTGCAAGGGGATTCATTAAAACGAATCTGATAGCCATTGCTAAATATATATGGCTGAGAAGTGATTAGAAATACACTCTTAAATCCAATACCTGAAAAACAAATGCAGTCATATTTTCAAAACCCATATAGAATGGAGAGAAAATATAGTTACGTAATTTATGCAGCTTCAGGCATATTTTATGAACAATGAAACCAATCAAAAATTAAATCCATAGATATCATGGCATATTTCACATCAGATTCAGAACCATTAACTGCTCGCCAGTGAATCGATAAAAAATGGACAGAAAAATTGCTGAAAACAAAATATGTTTCTTAAAAAGCTGTAAAAATGTGATAACAATGATAATGTAGAAAGAGGATTTTCAACTTTGGATTTGACTCTTTCTTCTTTTAGGACGGGAGATGTGATTCACGTTCCGAAATACCAACGGTAAATACAGAAAGAGACAACCTCGAGGATATTTCCATCAGTGAATTTAGTAATTCATAGCAACATTGTTAAATGGGAATGATTCTGTAATTGGAAGCTTAAATCTGTTGTATGCTTTTACTAAACACCATTTTAAGGTTGGAATTTGAGCCATATATACGTTTTATCTCTGAAAGAATTGGGTTCTTCTCAACCCATTCAGGGACAATGTAGCCAACGTTGCACTCTTTGCAAGGGGATTCGTTAAAACGAATCTGATAGCCATTGCTAAATATATATGGCTGAGAAGTGATTAGAAATACACTCTTGAATCCAATTCCTGATGAACAAATGCAGTCATATTTTCAAAACCCATATAGAATGGAGAGAACATATAGTTACGCAATTTATGCTGTTAAACTAGTCAAAAATCAAATCCATAGATATCATGGCATATTTCACATCAGATTCAGAACCATTAACAGCTGGCCAGTGAATTGATAAAAAATGGACAGGAAAATTGCTGAAAACAAAATATCTTTCTTAAAAAGGTGTAAAAATGTGATAACAATGATAATGTAGAAAGAGGATTCACAACTTTGGATTTGACTCTTTCTTCTTTTAGGACGGGAGAGGGCATGTGGCCATGTGATTCATGTTCCGAAATACCAACGGTAAAAACAGAAAGAGACAACCTCGAGGATATTTCCATCAGTGAATTTAGTAATTCATAGCAACATTGTTAAATGGAAATGATTCTGTAATTGGAAGCTTAAGTCTGATGTATGCTTTTACTAAACACCATTTAACCATTTGAATAGGTTATGAAACATATCAAGATTACATTTTCTATCACAAACTGAAATTTAAAAATCTCAAGACCAAATAACCATTAAATCTCTAGGATCCGATGGACAACAAATCATATATTCATACTGTTCAACATAGCAGACAAAATAGTACTACGTATTCTCTTCATTTCAACTTGAACTGCGTGATATGACTTTTTCAATCAACCAAAACTTTGTTTTGGAGAGAAATTTCATACTGTTTTATATTGTCATGAACAAAATTATTTAAATAACATTAGTTAGAAACGGGAAAAATGTCCAATAATTACCTTTCTCGCCAATATAACCACGTTTGCGGTTGTTCTTTTTGGTGGACCGTCCAACGCTACAAATGGACTCAATGTTCTTAGGTGAAAAACCCTTCTCATTGTTAAAGATGAGCAATGTAGATGCTGCTCCAGTTCCTGTAATATCCTTAGAAGTTATGACAAATTGTAGCGATGGATCAACGCCTTCCTCGTACTCATTATCCTCAGCATTCTGTTACATAATAGTAAATTAAACTCATTAATAAATTCATATAGTAGAAAATTATATTTGCCAAACACTGTTTATATTTTAATAAATAAAAAAAGCATTAGAATTACTACTACAATTAAAAAAATTACAATTTACTATAATGTTAATTAAAAATAATAATCAAATTAAAATAAAATTGATGTGTACTTTGTGCATGATTGGAGTGGATTTTTGCATCGAGTTGGTGTTTCTACACCAATTTGGTGCATGATTTTTTTCAAATAAAATAAATTGTTAAGAATAAAAAAATAAAGAAAGCGATTAGACACTATTCTTTTAGGGCTTAAGTTTTGGTGTAATGGATTGAATATGATTTTTAATTTGGTGCAAAACTTGCCTCGGATTTTTTTTAAGACCCCTAATATTACACTAAGGAGACTGAGATCCAAGCACAAAAATTTTTAGAATATCTTCTAAAAATACAATCTATGATACCCATTATTTTTAAAATATATTTTTCATATTTATTTTCAACTACAAATTTTTAATAAAATAATATCAAACGCAAATCCCAAAATTTTTCCTTATTTTCTAACCATAAATTCTCGAGCAAAATACTATTTCAAAATATAATATAGTTTGGGTAAAAAAAAAGAGCTCAAACAAGCACATATGTATTTATTTTTGCAGTACATGAAAAAAAAAAAAAATCCATCCAAGATAAAACTAAAAACCTCTAAACTACCAAATGATTATTTCTAATAAAAATGAAATTTGTCCACCCAAAGGTATATCATCTAAAGCATGCTCATTTTGTAAAAGTCGAAAATAGAGAACCTTTTATATATATATATATATTTTTTTTTAAAAAAAGGTACATCATCTGAAGCATATGGTATGACAAATATTATCAATGTACGTACAAATATTCAAGAACTTCAATAAACCCTTAATCTACTACAAAGATGCAAATACAATCATACTGATCGTATTTCTCTGCAGATCAATAGTTTTAGCGTATAGATACGTATATACGTGGCGACACAGTCACAGACCTGGATGAGTTCCATGAGAAAGTGAACATCCTTAGCGTAGAGCTCTGCAGAGAGATTTTTAACAGCCTGATGAAGATCCTCTGTTAGTGGATTCGGTTCTTTAGCTCCAATCGAAAACTTGATTCTTCTTATTTCCTTTACGTGCTCCTTTGGTGTCGCCATTGTCGCCCTGTGATCTCACAATAGTCTACAGCCAAAAAGCTTTTCAGTGTATCACTCTGAGATTGAAGGAAGGTTGTGAGAAATGAAGAAGAAGTGGAAAAGCTTTAGAATGTGATATATCATATATATAGAGCATCCCAATGCAATTGCTGTTTACAGTGTAAATAGTAGCCCGTTTGGTGCACGTCAAGACGAGAGAATGAATTTTTTTGAAGTGATGTAATGGAAAATATGTGGTTGAAAATAAAGGAAAAGTTATTGATGTGATGAAAAATATTATTTTATTGAAAAATGTGTGGTTGAAAATGAGTAGAAGAATGAGAATGAAAAAAAATAATGTGGGTCAAACATGGGCTAGATTCCAAATTTCATTTTGCTCTCTTTTTATTTTGGAACTCCTTTTCAACCACACATTTTTCAATAAAATAATATTTTTATCACATCCGTAACTTTTTCTTAGCCTCCGTTTGGTAACCATTAAAATTTTCATTCTCATTCTTCTACTCATTTGTAACCACACATTCTTCAATAAAATAATATTTTTCATCACATCAATAACTTTTTTTCATTTTCAACCACATATTCCCTATCGTATCAATAGTAAAAATACATTCTTACTCCCAAAATGTGCACCAAACAAGCTCTGATATGGGAATATCAATTTGGTCACCGACTATTTACCTATTGCAAAGTCTAAATTAAGTTAATAAGCCCAACTTTTAGGACTCAAAAGCAGTTCTTCCAATTTTCTCTTTACTCCCTAAAAACATAAAAAGTTATGTCTCTGCATAATACATTAAACAGATCTTCACCAAGATTTGGAATGTGAACAACCAATCCATAGAATAACTCAAGACAAACACATGTGAACAGCTTAATCACCAATAAAGAAATCAGTAGACCATTCAAATTCAGATTGTCTAATGTCTCACCATGAAACAAAATCCCACGTAGAAAAACCAATTAAAAGGCTGCAAGGTAATCTTTTTGAGAGATGCTACTGGGCCAGGCTCAAAGCAGGCCAAGGGACAGGGGCTTGCTTTGAGCCTGGCCAAGGGGTTTTCCCCAATCTTTTTTCCCTTGTAATGGCCTATAAATCAAGAACAAGTATCAAGAGGCAAAATAGTGTTCTACCTCATTAATTTCGCGGTTCCAGATTTCTTGTGCGCTTTATTTAGTAAATGCACATCATTTAGTGGTCAACTTTGACTTGTGGATTTATTCATTGAAAGATCAAGATAATAGTTCATTTTACTCAGTTGCTCATGACCGAATCCACTTCTGAGAAAACCCAGCAGCGGTTAATGAATGACAAAAACAAACAATTCAAAAAGAAAACAAAATCATCCAGTAACACAAACTTTCCTCCCAGTTACATTGCAGCTTTCACTAAACAAGAAAAGTAAATTCTAAGACTACCCATTTTGGGATACTCATGATCACATGCTGCCAGGGGTGGAGCCAAGAAAGTAATTCAACATGGGCACAATGTATCGATATTGAACATCGACTTTTTGGTTATGGATTTAATGACAATAAAAATATAAAATAATATTACGACAATACTAAAAATGATATAGTTTATAAATTACACTAGTTCCTTTCGAGCTCTCATACTTTGATATCGTTGTATAATAACTTCATTATCGAGCTTCAAAAATATATCTTCACGTGATAATTAGCAAAATAAAGTATAATTTGAAAAGGATTTCACNATCCACTGATCGCCCATCCGATTAGGCAACATATCCTTTACAATGCTCATTGCAGAAAAGACTCTCTCCACAGTAGCTGTAACAACCGGTAGAATCAATGCTAAAGTCAAAAGCTTGTAAACCAATGGATATACCATATTTTTCTTTGTCAGAACTAACTTTTCTGCAAGATCGCCAAGGTCATTCAACCCTTCAAACTCTTTGTTAGATCGCATGTCAAAAATATGAGTGTCAAGTTGATCATGAAGTACAACGAGATCTAATGGATAAAGCTCAGCAAGTCGGATCAAAATTTTCTTGTTAAAAGAAGAAAATGAATCTTGTGGACTTAAACAAACTACACAAATGAGTAACTCTTTATTTACCTCCGATAAATGATCATTCAACTTTTGAAGTTGTAGATTGATGACAGAGTAGAACAAATCTACCCAATAATGATGTAAATTTGTAATTTATGGAGGATTACATTGTGGGCAACCACGAAGTGCATGACGTACAAACATATCATCCATGGCGGGTACATCAATAAAATGTTGTTGACAGAAAAAACATACATCTTCCCAAAAGGAATCCCATCCTTCATCTTTCATTATTTGGAGTCGTCGTTTGCATAACTTCACCAATTGCATTGCATTCATAATATCTTGACATTTCCGTTGCAATGTTTTTGACAGTTCATTTGAAATCCCCAAGACACTTTTCATCAACTGTAAATCAAATGCAAAATCAAATGTCTGTATCGACATCCCCGGATCCCCCCATCAACATTTACGTTGTCCAAGTCATTTTTTCTTTGAAGGAATCTTTTCATAAGGTTTCAACAATACTCAAATTTCAACAATACCCAAATTTCAGCAATTTCAATTCATTAATACCCAAATTTCAGCAATTTCTACTCCATAATACCCAAATTTCAATTCATAACAGTTAAATCTCTACACTGCACCAGAACGCATAATTAAAAAACCATGACATCCAAAAAAACTCACCAGAGCTTGCAATAGCCTAGAAGTCATTGCACAACCAAATCAATTTTCGCCTTTGTAAACTGTAAGGAGGAAAAATACAAAATTTGAAGGTTAATGATGTAGTAGAAGCATAAGGAACGAAGAACGCGTTCAAAGATCAGTTGATTATATGAATAACTGAGAGTGAATACTATCAATTGATACAAAATTGAGCAAACTCCCAACAATATTTTATTAAATTCAAATCAAGCTACTTATTCTTCTCAAAAAAGGGTTATTTATCCCCCACAAAGATTAAACCTTAAAAGGAAACTTACCATCAAAATAATAACATACTGTAATAGAATATAATTTGGTGCCTAACCTTCGAAGTTCGAAGCCTCCTCATGATTTACTCTTTCATGAACTGAGTCAATCAATCAATTCAAAACTAGGAAAGGGAAAACACAATGCATTTCTAAGCTCCGAGAATAGCTGGGACTAGGATATTGAAGAATATCTAGAAAGGCTCCACTCGAGAATGGGTTTGATTCTTTCTCAGTTTGAAGGAACTAATCTTTCTATCAGTTGTTTCACTAGTATTATATGATCTGATATTGTATGGAGTAGAGCAGAGGCGGAGCCAGGAGGAGGCTACGAAGAGGAGCAGACGGGTGCGATGAATTGAAATGGGGCATACGCGTGCGAAGTGGGGTTTTCATTTTTTGGATTGGGCTGGGCCTGGGACACTGGGTAGTGGTATAATATATTTGGTCGTGATTTTGGGCATCCTTGGGCTGGAACCTAGCATATAACAAACAAAAAAAAAAAATTGTGAAAGTTCAGTGTGAGCCTATGCACACACTGGACCATACTGGGCTCCGCCCCGGTGTATGGCTAAGACTTTTGATTTTAAGCTAACTATTTTTCCAAAGCTCGCGGAAGTCAAATTGAGGGCAAAAAGATTTCAGGAGAGGAGGAAGATACACTCAACAAGGAAAGCATATGTGCGGTTTGCTATGGCATATTTNTACTTTTCCCTACAAAAATGACTTTTCGTAAGGCTAGAATTTGCTTCAAAATTTTCAATAGTTGGAGGACTCGTGACTACAAAGTTTTGTACTTTTTTCCAATAAAAAATTTGACGGGCAAGATATATTTTTTGCCGACAAAAAATTTTAGACATGTTTGTAGGCTAATAATTAACTAGAAAGGTTTCCAATCATTATTTTTATTTTTAGTCCCTACAAGATGTATATTTGAAGTTAAAAGATAATTAATAAAAAAAGAGAAAAGACAATTCTTTTTTTGTTAACAAAACATAATTAAATAAAAAAAAAAAACCCTCATAACCCACACGTATATTCCCTCTTTGCCTCCAAAATTTTTTCTCCAAAAGAATTCCTTCCCTCACTTTGCCACTTCAACTTAATCAATTTGTGGCCCAAACCTAATTCAAAATTGGGAACAATACATAAAGAAGGTATTTACGTATCACCATTTCAAAATTAAGGTTTGAGGTTTTAAATTTCAAAAATTAGGTTTTCATGAAAATTTATTTATAATCTAATTAATTAATTATATATTTTATTANTATTTTATTAACAAATATATAAAGGTCACAGATCTATGCAACTTGATCACAATTCAAAAATTTTACAGGTCGCAGTTCGTTCATCGGTCACAAATTAAAAATTTAAAAGTCACAATTTGTTCATCGGTCACAAATCACAAAATTTATAAGTCACACAACTTATTTTATGATCACAAAACATCAAATTATAGATCACAGATTACTTTTCTTGGTCACATATTAATAAATTTGTAGGTCACACAGTATTTATTGGTCACAACTTATTCTTCATTGATCACACACCAACAAATTTATTGGTCACAATCAACAAATCATTTGTGACCACTATCAACACAACACCACCGTCGTCTCCTCCACCAACACCAACACCAACACCACATAAACGCTGGTTTGAGGTCACAGGTTAAAAATGAGTCACAATAAACCAAAAATGTCAGTCACATACACTAAACACCCCACCCCTGTCCCGATCATCCACCAATATTTGGTCACAAATCAACCATGGAGACCCTACCACCACCATCCTCACCATCGCAGCCAGACCCACCGCCGCTGCAACCAGACAACCCAAAATCCCCCAACAACACCGAAACCACCACAAACCACCACTACCACCAACATAAGCACCACCATCTCCACCACAAATCCACTATATCTATAAACCAACACAGCACACGCGGCCTCGCACACCAACACAACACACACCAACGTCGGTACAATTCCAGTCATCACCACCACCTCGCA